TAATCACTAATATTTGTGTTCAGTGAAGTCTCCCGAGTAAAACAGTACCCCCCATGTACAGGTTTTAGGGTGTCGTATTTTAGGGTAAAATACAGTGCTAGCAAATTAAATTCTCTGGACTTTCGGCCTGGGTTGGCAGGTAGGTCCCTCAAATTGCAATCAATAAAATTACTTAATTATGTAAAAATATTACATAAATACGCACGTAGAATTTAAATATATAAGCATATTTATATATTTGAAGTCTACGTGTATATTTATATAATTCTTTATGTAATTTTGTATATGGACATATGTATATTTTGTATTATTTTTATTTATTTATATATACATAGATATATATACAATTTAATTCTAAGTGTATTTTGAAATAAATATATATATATATATATATATTAATATCAAAATACAGTTAGAATAAAATTTCATATAGATATATATTTTATTACAAAAATGTATTATTATTTTTACATTTTTTATTTGATTTAAATTATTTATTATTTGTATTTTATAATAATATATATATATACATTATATATAGTTATTATATATATTATATATACGTGTGTAATTTAATTATAAGTGTATTTTTATATTAATATATGTACATATTAATATAAAAATACACTTAGTATGACATTATATATATGGCATATAGACATATATTATATAGATATAATAAATGTCTATATATCATATTTATATACACATATATAATTTTTTTTTTAAATTAACATTAACTTTTATTTTTTTTTATGATTTTTCACTAGCAGGGAGACTGCCTGTCAGCACAGGCAGTCCCCCTGCAGGCAGACACTAGGACACCTATTGTGACCATGTTGTGACCTATTCAGGACCGTTACCGGTCGGCAATGCAAAAATGCCGATGACGGTCCTGAACCATCCTCGGTCCTTAAGGGTTTAAACTTGTGTAAAGCTTTAGTAAACATGACATCAAAATACTTTTTTTTTTTAAGTTAAAAGGTTGCTCCAAATTTTTTTTGACTATTTTTTTCCAATTATTATTTATAATTTCCTATTGAGCATTATTTATCCCTCCCCCCACCCCACCCTTTCATAATTAAAAAAAAAAAACTTGTACAATAAGCAATAAACTTACCTGAAATCCAGCAGCAGGTTAAGCTTCCATTGATGGTCTCCAATCTCCATCGCTCCATCTGACGTCACTCCTTCACTCTGTGCTGTATCAATATATGAAGATAAACTTCACAGCGGTATTAAAATTGTGCAAAGATGAACCCCAAACAATTTTCCACTTATTTCAATACTTAAAGTGTTTATACAATACCAAATGTGCAAATATACACAACAAATCAATTTTTCCAGCACACAAAAAGTTCTAAAAGGGCCAAGTGAATTACTCCGGTACTGTAAGTAACGGTCACATAACCGAATGTGGTGAGGAGGAGGGGGGAGGGAGCATCCTCATGGCCAAACCACCAAAACATAGAGGGGAGTGGGGCGGAGTTGGCAACTAAATCAGTACACACATACCAAGCCTAGGGGACCCATCTGATACTCTAAACTACACCTGTATACAAGGATCAAATATCCACAGTCTTATAGTCCTTTTTCAGGGAAATGTGAGTCCATCATACACGCGCAGATAGGGACCTGCACATCCCCGTAACAAAACCTCACACAACTCTATACCCATATGCTAGGTAACTACCCTTAAATGCGAAACCTGCGTGTCTCATTTCTCCTTACTCATGTGGAGATCTATGTATCTCGATTTACCAGATGTTATTTCATATATTTGAAACCTGCATGTTTCCTTATCCTCACCACCTGCATTTTCATTGAAAATTTGAAAAATTCTTTAATAAAAATATATTTACAAAAAGAAAATGCCAAGTAATAATCAAAGGTATGTGCCAATTAAATAATTTGCTTAATATATACTTAGCAGCAATTAGAGTTTCCAGAAAGATAAAATAATTCAAAAATAAAAAACAGAAAACATACATTAGTGTAAAATGCTTGACCAATTTTTTAATAATTTATAACAAAATCCATTTAGTTGTCCACTCACATAGATTAAAGCCCAAAGACTGGCTCTAATTTTCTTGCCGCAAGCCTCTATGAGGGACTCCTTCCATTCTTGGTTAAACTTCACACTATTTGATATTTTCAGTTAAATGTTTAATAATTGTGTTGTTTCTAAATAAACAATTCCAGCAGTTGCATTCTTATGCTCTGGCACATTCCACTGTGTTGATGTTCGTCTATACATGATGTGTCCATGACAATCTAAGAATTCCTTCTGTAGAATCTTTATAATTTTAAAGCTGATTGATTGGGTCCAGCTGCTTATATTGTGTGTATTTGCATGCTGTAGGAAACTAGTGTTCTTGGTTTCCCAGGTCACCATGAAATATCAGTTTAGATCCACATTTTATGATGTTTATGGTATTCCATATGAAGGTTCATACCCTCATGTCCACATCTTCAACTCTAGACATATGTTCACTATAAATTAATATGACACTGGACATTTAAAGGGCTGTTCTTAAATGTGTGAGAAATTTAGCTATGACCCTATTTTAAACTTCTGTTGAATAATACGGTAACATTCCAGTAGATAATTCCATAGCATAAAATAATAAATATGCCTACCAACAGTATAGATAATCTGTTCATTATGATTCATGTTCCGTAACCACGTATATTAGACATTTATATATTTGTTTGCATTTACATAAAACATAGACTAATATCATTATGTCAAATTTATTAACACAATGAATAATATAATAAATGTGTAATATCTACTATACGTATAAAATAAGAAAAAAGTATATATTTTTGATTATATGATTTCCTTCCTCTCTTTGTAAATTAGAAAGCATATTTAATTATTTGAATTTATCATGATTTAGTAAAGTAATATTTGCAGTGTTTAGAATTCAGAAATTGTAAGAACAGTTTTCTCAAAAATAAATAAACTTGATTTGTTCCCATCATGGAGAAATATAAATATCTTTGAGAACAGTGCACGTCCCACCACCGTGCAATGCATCTGCAGAAGACCGATAGTTCTATATAGTCTAAGGGGAAAGTAAATTAACGGCTACACGTAGTTCCCATTATTATTTCCAATAGCAGGGGAACTGCTGCATTTGCTATGAAACAGGCATTTTGCCAAGGACATTCAGACTCTGAAAATATAATGGAAGGCATACATAAATTGCCTGTATCGCTCTTCCGATACTAATATTATTAAAGATTTTTGCTCATGTGTAATGCGTGACTTCAGGTCTCTGATGCAAACTTATTCTGTCATACAGAAAATAATATCACTATGATGTACGTAACTACGAATACACAGGATGTAACAGGGTATTATTTTTAAAACTACTTGGCAAAAAAAGTTGTTTTTGTTTCCAAAAGTATATTTTTGTTCAACACAGTGAGTGTTGAACACACTTAAAAGTCATTCAATATATATATATATATAAACTGGACCCAGTGCAAATTCTATCCATTTATTTGAATGTTATTAAAAGAACACTCCATTAAAAAAAGCAAATGAGTTTATGCGAAAGACAATATGCGTGTGATTTGATTTGCATGTTTTCTTTGACGGTATATGATATTTTGGTTGCAGTTCTAGTATCTACAATACTGCAAGGTCTTGCTGACTCTCATAGGCTGTCCAATCACAGACTTCTAAATGAACTGTATGACATCACATTAACAAGTCTTTTTAAGGCATGTGCTCTGAGCAATTGTCCGCCTTTTGAGTTTAGTTCATCTGAGCTAAACTATGAGTAAGTGAAAGCACCAGCTGTCTGACTGACCGCAGAGGGGGAGTAAAAAGGTTAATTTATAAAATTGCTGATTATTACAAAACGACCACAATTACCAATAAACTGAAAAAAAAATCAAGAACATAGTTATGACATATTTGCATTTGCATAGACATGATATAATACATTAGGAATATTAATTTTGAAAATGTAGAAGATTGGATTTTTCCCAGGTGCATCCATATCTGCTGTGATCAATATATTTCCTTGGTAATTAGAAATTTAATCACAAACGAATTGATGAACCTGTTCTTTTATTTATTTATATATTTATTTAATGTGCTATAATGCTAGTCTCTGCTGCCTCTTTTCATTTTGCTGAACTTTAAGACTAACTATAAATTCCTTTCAGCAATTGATTTTGCACTTGTACATGGCAAGTCATTTCTTCTTGTTTAAATTGTCTTGGAAAAAAAAACTGTAATTTGTCAAAAGTTCATTGATGAGTGTCTCTTTGACTTGTGGGAATTTTATTAAAAGAGCACTCAAAACTGTTTTCCAGTGGTTTTCAGAAAACCCACAGTTTGTCATCTTGACTGCTACACTTAAGAAAAAGTAGTCCCTAAATAGAGTGCTCGGGAAAAAAATAAAAATAGTTTCAGACACAGGTAGCTATATAGAAGCAGATTAGATTAAATTTATTTTTGAAGACAATCGCTTAAAAGGAACACTCTATAATGAAAAATAAACATATGTATGTTAATGTTACAGTCTTCCTTATATATAAACATGTTTTAGTTTTTTTGTATTGTGTTGTCTTTGTTTGGGACTACACTCCCTTCTTTTTAGACACAGGGATCCATATAGGTATTGAAGAACAATTACATATATATATATATATATATATATATATATTAAAACAATAAAGGTTTAATTAGAAATACCAATATATGGCTTGGAGTTGTAGAAACGTGTTTCGCTGTTTTCCTAGCTTCCTCAGTCTAGTTATTTCTCTTTAATACCTATCTGGATGCATCTAAAAAGAAGAGCATGTAGACCCAAACTACACAAAGCCTTTTTACTAAGCCAGGTCACAGGCCTTTGTACTGAGCCAGGTCACAGGTAGTGATGTCGCGAGCCATTCGCGAACTTCCCGCTAACGGCTCGCCACGGTTCGCCACGAACCGTTCGCGGTGAGCTCCTGTCAGCTGACACATCCCGGCCAATCTCCAGCAGACCCTCCCTCCCAGACCCTCCCACCCAGACCTCAGGTGGGAGGGTCTGGGAGGGAGGGTCTGCTGGAGATTGGCCGGGATGTGTCAGCTGACTGGAGCTCACCGCCAACGGTTCGTGGCGAACCGCGGCGAGCCGTCCGCGGCGAGCCGTTCGCGGGAAGTTCGCGAACGGTTCGCGACATCACTAGTCACAGGCTCTACACTTGTGAGTATTCTAAGTAGCAGCACTACTTTACTTCAGTCAAGTGAAACTTCACTATGTTATTTTCCTTATCCTGAGATATTCTGAGAATAACTAAAGCTACTATATTGAAGAGGGTAGTGGTCGTCCGTAACGGACCAACCAGTTCTTCACACCAGAGCTAGGGTGTATAGCTCTGTAGAATGTGTGTTCCATTTGCACTCTTTACTATTTATGGTTATAAGGTTTTACACTATATGCATTTTATTTGTATTCAAAGGTACACAGAAAAGATGGATATATTTCAAATATGGTTGGAATATCAGTTGTATTATTATATTGTACACTGTTATATATGCATTTTTGCACTTTTGATGAGAAATAAGCGCTCCACTGTTTTCAATTTCATTTACACATTCAGTGTAGTAGCTGCTGTGAGAGTTAATATATAAGATCATTAATAATTTTATCCAAAGATAAAACGGTTAATTCCACATTCACTATATATACCTGGTGGGTTTGTTGACCTACATTTAAGTATCTAAGTACCAGAGAAGATCCAAAGGCCAATGGTAGATGCTATTTAAATGTCTCTTCAGCACATTCCTTCATACAGAGATTCTTACAACATGATTGCTTCACCTAATCCCATCAGACTAAACCTGTGAAGCGAAAATTCCAGAACTGACAACAGGGGGATAAATTCTTTCCACAATGTACCGCATATATATACTTAATCTCAGAATAATAGCATCTAGTTATCTTACAACTAATCATACCATGGGGTGGAAAGGCTATGGCAATCTGTGTTAATAATTCAGGGAAATTTTCTACATAAAAAAATCTAATTAGCACTTTGAACTGGAAGGATTCATTTAATTTGTACGTTCAATTACCATTACTAGTTCTAAACAGAAAATATCAGGAAGCAAATTACCGGAGCTAAACTCCCAAATATGAATATAAAAGAAATATGTTTAATATTTGATCAAATAGTTAGGTAAACAAAATAATCATAAAATGTAAAAAGAACAAAAAAACAGAAAAGGAGTAAGACAAAATCACAATAAGAAGTGAAAATATAATCTGATGCAAAATATACCATAAATGTTTTATTTGACAAGAAATATAAGTATAGGTAAATATTTATTTTTTAGAATAAATAAAATAAAACCAAAGAAAATGAAATTTTTATATATAAAGTTGTGCTCACAAGTTTGCATACCCTTGGAGAATTGGTAATATATGTACCATTTTTAAAGAAAACATAAGTGAGCAGGCAAAACACATCTCTTTTATTTCTTATGGGATTCATATTCAACTGTAGGTTATAACAGAATGGCACAATCATAGAACAAAACATGGCAGCAAATAAAAAAATTAAATTACCCCTGTTCAAAAGTCTGTATACTCTTAGTTATTAATATTGTGTATTGCCCCCTTTTGTAATAGTTGTCTATGAGGCCCCTACTTCTGGCAGGTGGCATAGCTCCCCATCATCTTGGCAAAATGCCTCCAGGTCATGCAAGGTCTTTCGTCTTCTTGCATGAACCGCACGTTTGAGATCTCCCCAAAGTGACTCTAATGAAGCTGTGAGGCATGTCAAGGTGTTGTTGGACATATTGTAACAGGGTTTTTTGTAGCATTGGCGCAGTAAAGGCTTTTTTCCGGCAACACGACTATGCAGTTCATTTTTGTTAAAGTATTGTCGTATTGTGCTTCTTGAAACAACCACACTGTCTTTTTCTTCTGAGGTTACCTGTGGATTTTTCTTTGTAGTCTGAACAATTCTTCTTCTTGGCCTCAAGAGATCCCCGAATTTCCAACTTCTTATTAAGTGATTGAACAGCTCTGACTGGCATTTTCAAGGCTTTGGATATTTTTTTACATAATTTTCCATCTCTATAAAGATCCATTACCTCTTTACACAGGTCTTTTGACAGTTATTTTCTGCTCCCCATGGCTCAGTATCTAGCCTGCTCAGTGCATCCACGTGAGAGCTAACAAACTAATTGACTATTTATATACATGTATCTAATTGCAATTTAAAAAGCCACAGGTGTGGCAAGTTAACCTTTAATTGCCATTTTAACCTGTGTGTGCTACCTTGTGTGTCTGTAACAAGGCCAAACATTCAAGGGTATGTAAACTTTTGATCAGGGCCATTTGGGATGATTTCTGTTATCATTATGATTTAAAAAGAAGCCAAACAACCATGTGATAATAAATGGCTTCATATGATCACTATTCTTCAATAATATATATATATATATATATATATATATATATCTTTTTCTAATTTTTCTCATTCTTTATCAATTTCAATTCCTTTTGCTCATACATTCTTGTATGTTACAGCCGATATTACATTTGTTCTTGGAGGAAGGGGTCCACACTAGCACCATAATCTATATGCTTCCTAATCTAGGAGTGGAAGGGGGAATGTCTGGTTTAATTGTTCTGTGTTGTGCTTTATTTACTGCAAGAACCAAGGTTTCTTTCTTTCTTTTTCTTTATATCTTTCATTTTTTTCTCTCTCTCTCTCTCTCTCTCTCTCTCTCTTTCTTTCCTTTTCTCCTCTCTTATTTTAAAGATTCTATCTGGGTATATTTTCTACTCTGTGTTACTTTGGAAAGGGGATAGGGGATAGTTGAAGGTATATCTATTTACTACATACAAAATTGAGTATTCTCTTGAACTGTAGGCATGCTTCGCCTCCTTATCTGTCTTTGAATTATTAGGTACTTGGTTTGTTATGTTTGGTGCATACTTTAAAAAAATGTTAATTTATGCTATGGTCATTATGATGGGTGGCCAACTCCCATTCTCATGCTTGGAGATACTTTATCCTTCGGCTCCTCACTCTTCTTATAGTCAGAGCCTCATCTGTGACACCCAATCTTTTTTGAATCTCATACTTTTCACAGAGAGGCCAACATCCCACCACTTTGATCTGTGGCTCAAAGCCCCCCTTCTCAATTCATAGATAGAGCCTCTCACACCGCTTGGCAACTAGCAGAGCCTCTTTTGGCATCCACAAAGTTAACATATTTCACCACTCAGTAGTAATCAGCTAGCCAGCTCAATTTTGGTTTCGTAGTAGGTCTAACGACTGGGTCCAGGGCAATTATTTTTCTCTTTTTAGTACTCTGGCCCAGCAGAGAGATTTAGCAAGCCCCAGTTCAAGTAAGTCCTGGACAATTCCTAAGATACTGCAGAATTAAGTTGCAGGAATATGAATTATATCCAGCTACTGCAAGGAAAGCATAATTGTTTAGGCTCGTGAAGTCTCAACCAACTACTCTAAGGCCATGGACTTGGTGTACTTTCATTAGTTCTTTCAAAGAGAGTTATGCAGAGTTAATGTGGTTCTTTCCATTCTGTTCCCAGTAGAATTCTTACAGAAAACAGATTTGAACCCTCTCATCCTTAATCATGCAGGCCAACACTCTCTTTTTGTACAGTATCTATACTTTGAGCATTAATTAACATAGCGCTTCGCCATTCCTTTTCAAAGGTGGCTAGTGTCTGCTCTCCATCCTGAGGGTTCCTCAATGCTTTACTACACAGGAAAACACAGCATACCCTGACACACACACACACAACTAAGATTGGAATAGGTGATTGTGGGTCTACGAGGATATACATATAGATCTTGACAAAGGTGGAAAACGTTGATCCTTATTGGCAACATCTGAATACACTAATTCATTGGAAATCCATTGAGTGCTCTCATCTTTATTGTTTGTTTATAAACATACACATAAAATTCTGGTCTTAGTTGCCCCACTGCAGTCTCCGTCCAAATAATATATATCTACATAATGAGAGTAGTCAAAAGTCTTTGTAGAAAAAACTTTGTGTTTTTATTTCAGAAAGATTTGATGTTGTTTCTGCAAAGACATTCAAGTGCTCTCTTTATGCGGATATATATATATATAAAAAACCTGATAACAGAATGAATGTATATAAGCTCTTTTTGTTTCCAAGCATGTAGGTTTTTTGCTGTAATGTTCCTGTGGCTTTTCATGCCCTTTTGAAATATATATAGAAACACAGCAATCCAGTAATAATAGAGTTTCCCTATCTTGCAAGTCATACTTCAACATTCAAGGAGCCAACTGTCAAGAATAGTTTTATTAAACATTAAAATATGAATACACAATAGCTTACATTGCTGTATATATTTAGCATATTGTATTTGCCACCACCTTTGTTGTATTGCTTATTCTTTAAGGGAAGATTCAATTATAGTTTTTTTTCCTTTTGCTCTTTCTCATCTCATACTTTACATCTTTCTTATACTTTTTCGTTCTGATCACTTATTTAAGAAAAAGGAAAATAAAAACATTAACAGGTATAAAAAGTATTTAGTAATAATTTCCAGCACAAATTTTAGGAGAATGTATCTTTAATTTGTGATCTGTGGTCTAGACTAAAACATGTCTTGTTGAGACTAGTCTGAAATGCAGGAGTCCACTGACACCTGCAATACATAGCTCATGGACTGGGGGTAAAAAAAAAAAAAAACCTTGCTAAACCATCTAGGACTACTAGCTTTGTATTGACTACTTGCTTTTATTGATATTTTCTTTACTAACCAGTTGGCTTCTAAAGTAGAACAAAAGTATTATCAGATATTTACAAATTATACCAATATAAGAGCATTTTTGTATAAATAGTTATTGAAATAGTGACTGTAATAGTTATTGTTCTGTTTTAATATAAATGTATATATTTGAACCATAAATTACCATTAGTTTAATTACAGTTTGTATTAATTGTTATGAGAAAGTATTTCCAATAAACTATAGCATTAAGCCCTTAAATGGAAAAATTAAGTTAGTATTTAAGAATCACAAAAATAATACAATATTCACTTTCTGAGTAATTTTAGTTGTTGGTTTTTGTCAAAAGTAGATTCTGTACATTAGTAAGTATTGAAAGTATCCCTCTATTTTTTATGTTGGTTTGTTTTTTAATTCACTTTGAAATAACCTCTGCATTAAATTTCAAGTCCAATGTTATTGTTGGTGATATATTAATAAATAAGACTATTTATATGTGATAATGTATAATAAGGTGTTAATTTTGACTTACATGATCAGTCACTAAAGTGATATCCTCATGTTCCACTGTCTCAGCTTTGTCTGGTTTTATGGTGATCACAACAGAAGGTTTGTGAACACTGTATATCCACCAATAAATGAGTGGCCACCACTACCCAGGTTTTGAGCATTACTGGTATTTTAACTGGGTATTTAAAAAGTTTATTGTAAAGGATTTCCTTATGTTTACCTGTACCCATTCGGTTAATTCCTCTCCCTGCTAGTTAAGTGGCTGTAAAGTGTTTGTTGTTATTCCTGTATTCGGGACATTTATTTGTTCTACCGAACGGAGACCACCCTGGGTAGCAATCAGAACTTAGAACACCAAGTAACCACGAAAACCGCAAGGTAATTGAGTGCTTCTAGGTGGCCGCCATTTGGCATATGAACACGTGGCGAGAACAAAGGATGGCGGCCATCTTAGATCTCCCGAACGCGGTCAGTGGGACTTACTCGTGGATTGCCTGGAACCATTTTCAGCATGACAAACACACGAACACCCGGTCTCTATGGAAGACCCGTCTGACCGATTTCCACTTACAGTATCAAACTGGCGTTCGGGAGTTTCAATCAACCGAATGAGGGGATCATTCATCTGGAACCAGATGCTGTATAACTGTGGTAGTTTTTGTGTAATTACGCACAAACGGAGACCGGCTCTTGCTATCAATTTCATGGAACTCTAACTCGGATACAACCACATGGCGAGCCGGTCAAACTTCCACACAATGCGACACAAAAACTACCGAAAGGATTTTCGTGCAATTTGGATATGTTACTCCTAGTATGATTGTTATATTTCTGTGACATGTAGAAAGTATATTTTTTAAAATGTGGAAAATTGTTAATGTTTCTGGCCAGCAGATAATTGAGTTTAGTATGTTGCTGAAACTCAATTATCTAGCCTGGCCCAGAGGAGGAGCTTGTACTGTATAAATTGAATGCCTGTTGCTTCCAGTAAATCAGTCTTGTTCCAGCATTAAGCTTTGGCTCATGTGTGGATTATTTGGTGATACCAGCGTTATTTTACCCTGTGGATTATTGTTGTTATTCTGCTATTGGGAAAAAGGGAATACTGTGACGGTGATACAAATTACTACCGTCACAACTGGTTGGCAGCGGTGGGATTTTCCTTTTTTTCTGCACCAAGAAGCCAAGCAGACACTGGGAACAGTGAATGGAAGGCTGGTACACACTGCTTAAACGAAACACGTTAAAGGAACTGTTGGAGGTTAGTGGAAGGATTGCTAGTAACAAAACCAAGCCGGTCATTATTGCTGAGTTAATGGAGCTAGACCGGGAGAACTTGGTTGCAGCAACACCGACCGTTTGGGAGATGGAGACACCGGTGATTCGGGAAAATGAATCGCCAACCAACAGGGAGATTCGAATCGAACCCAACGGCTGACATTGTTCTACAGGTAATGAACATTGTAGCAGAAGAGGCGAAACAAAAGCGAGAAATAGAGCTGCAGATGAAGCTGGCTGAAACCGAGCGGGCAGCAGCACGTTCCCCAAGCGGAGAGAACAACACAGCAGACACAAGGAAGATTCCTTTCAGTGCCTTTAAAGCTTTTAATGAGAAGGACTGTGAGATTGATAGCTATATAGCGGATTTTGAGCAACAGTGTAACCTGCACAGAGTGGCTGCAGACGAGTGGGTTTCAATATTGGCTGGGAAGTTGTTAGGCAAAGCCGCCGATGCTTTCCGGGCAGTACCAGAGCAGGAGATTCACAGCTATGCAAGGGTTAAAGAGGTACTCCTGGCTCGGTACGTAGTGACCCCAGAGACATACCGCCAAAAGTTCAGAGACTCACACAAAACAGACAAGGATTCCTATGCAGAATGGGCCTGCCAGTTACAACTGTCCGCATCCAACTGGGTCAACAGTAGCCAGGCTACCACCGCGGATGACATCCTACAGTTAATATTCCTGGAGCAGTTCTATGACCACATCCAGACAGATATCAAATACTGGGTGAGAGACCGCAGACCCCTCTCCTTACCGGAGGCTGCCAAGCTAGTGGATGAGTATGCAGATACCCCACGGGTCCAACCCCTATGACCGGCAATACCATCAACCCCAACAGTAACCAGGTACCAACCCCCCAGCCGACCGGTAGCCTCCAACCCCCGCTACCCACGTCAGGCTGGCAACGAACCCCGCTGCTTCCGATGTAACCAAGTGGGTCATCTTCATAACAATTGCCCACTGGAAGCCCTCAGGTCCAATTGGACTTGCCCTGGATTCCATCAACCCCAAGCAGCAGCCCATTGTGTGGATTATCCGTTACCCTCTGCCTGGTACGCCAAGGAGCTGAATCATGAAGAACCCCTTGGCAACCTATATGACGCTCTCCTAGTCCAATCTACCATCACTGACAATCGAAAACACCATTGTCAGCTGGTAATGGTCAACGGGAAGACAGCCCGGGGGCCTAAGGGACAGTGGCACTACAATCACCCTAGTTCAACGGCATCTTATTGATAACTCTGAAAGACCGGTGAAATCTATTGCTGTGAGAGTGGCGGGGGGGGGAAGTGTACCGCACAAGTGCATCTAGACTGGGGAGCTGGAGCTGGCAATGTCCAAGTGGGTGTGATGAAAGAATTACCCTCCAAAGTCATGTTGGGCAATGATATTGGTCCTCTAACTTCTGCTTTGTATCAACACCCCCTCACGAGGCTCAAGCAGTAACCACCAGAGCTCCAAGTCATGCTACCGAGAGCCATCCACCTCCTACTGAGACCCAGGTAAGCCAACCTACCCTAGCCCTGACCATAGAGCCCCTTCCCTGGGATACATCGGAGGACTTTGGGAGGGAAGTAGCCGGAGACCTCTCACTCAGAAAGTACAGGGAAAAAGCTAAGGGAGGACACGGAGGGTTAGAGAAGGAGCAGTTAATCTGGGAGAAGGGCCGTTTATACAGGCTCACCGAGACACGGGTCAATGCACCCGGGCCCCAGCAAAAACGCCAGCTGGTAGTCTCACGGAAATACCGGCAGGAGTTATTGAGAATTGGGCACAATGTTCCCTTAGCAGGGCACATGGGAATATGCCGGACGTTACATCGGGTAACCCAGAACTTCTTCTGGCCTGAGGTATCCGACGATGTCCGGGCATATTGCCGGACGTGCGAGATATGTCAAAGGGTAGGTAACAAGGGTGACCACCCGAAAGCCAAACTCGAACCTATGCCAATAATAGAAGGACCTTTCACGAGAGTAGCCGTAGACCTCGTAGGACCCCTGGCCCAGCCTAGCCGCTCCGGTAAGCGCTATATACTTACTGCGGTGGACTACGGTACTCGCTACCCCGAAGCTGTAGCCCTCTCTAATATCCAGGCAAAGACGGTGGCTGATGCTCTGGTCAAGATATTCTCCCGAGTGGGATTTCCCAAAGAGATTGTCTCCGTCCAGGGTACGCAGTTCACGGCTGAGGTGACCCAGCAGATATGGAAGGTCTGCGGAGTTAAATCCCTGACCAGTTCCCCATACCATCCCCAGACCAATGGACTGTGTGAACGCTTCAACGGGACGCTGAAGCAAATGCTGAAATCGTTCACGGGGGCCTACAAAGATTGGGAGCGATTCCTGACGCACCTCCTCTTCGCATACTGGGAGGTGCCCCAGGAATCAACTGGATTTTCATCCTTTGAACTGCTATATGGGAGGCGGCTGAGAGGGCCCCTAGATCTTATCAAAGACCACTGGGAGGGGCAGACCGGGATAGAGGGGACCCCGATTGTGCCCCATGTGCTGGAACTGCGTGACTGCATGGAGGAATTTGCCCAGACTGTGCAGGAAAACCTCCAGGCGACTCAGCAGTACCAGAAAGTATGGTATGACTGACGAGCTAGGTACTGTAGCTTTCAGATTGGACAAAAGGTCATGTTGCTAAAACCAGTCCAAACTGACAAGCTCCAGGCTGCCTGGCAGGGCCCCTATGAGGTTATAGGACAAGTGTGCGATACCACCTACACTATAGCCAGCTGCGAGAATGCATATAACGAGAGGGCTGAGGAGGTGACCACCATCTGTGCTCCAGCTGGATAGGACACGGAGGCTTTGCCCCTACCCGACCTCTTAGGGAGTAACGGGGAGACGAGGCCGGTAGAAAAAGTCCAGTTAGGGGAACAGCTGGAGCCCCAAGAGAGAGCACAAGCTATCCGCTTACTGGAAGCCAAACAGGCCACGTTCTCTCAGGTTCACATAGTAGAAGCAACGGGGCAGGCGCCTCTAAGACAACCTCCCTACCACATTCCCGAAGCTGTCTGAGCATTCGGACAGTCCTTGGACCTCACCTGTAGTCTTAGTACCAAAACAGGACGGTACAACCCGCTTTTGTGTAGATTACAGGCGGCTCAATGACAAGACAGTCAAAGACGCCTATCCGATGCCACGGATGGACGAGCTGCTTGACTGCATCTCTGCAGGGAAGTATCTAACCATGATAGACCTATGTAAGGGATACTGGCAGATCCCCCTAGCAGAGGATGCAGTACCCAAGTCAGCGTTCATCACCCCGTTCGGCCTATACCAATTTCGGGTTATGCCGTTCGGAATGAAGAGCGCCCCGGCCACCTTCCAACGGATGTTGGACCGCCTGTTGGAAGGTCTCCAGGACTATGCATGTGCCTACCTGGACGATATCGCCATCTATAGCGATACCTGGGAGGCACATCTGGAACACGTAGGAGCAGTATTAGACAGGATTAGGGGGGCCGGTTTAACCTTGAAACCAGACAAGTGCCACATTGGTATGGCGGAGGTGCAATATTTGGGCCACCGAGTTGGGTGTGGTAAGCAATGGCCAGAACCGGCTAAGATCGAGGCCGTTGCTAATTGGCCCACTCACCGTACCAAGACACAAGTCATGGCCTTCTTGGGGACAGCCGGCTATTACAGACGCTTTGTACCAGGCTATAGCGCCCTGGCCAAACCCCTGACGGACCTAACGAAAAATAAATTACCTCGACAAGTCCTGTGGTCCCTGGAGGGTGAGGTAGCTTTCCAAGCTCTGAAACAGGCCCTTGTTAATGCTCCTGTATTGGCTGCCCCAGATCCTAACAAAAGATTTATTGTCCACACAGACGCTTCAATGTTTGGACTGGGGGCAGTACTAAGCCAGATCGGAGAGGACGGAGGGGAGCACCCGGTGGCCTACCTGAGCTGGAAACTTCCACCATGGGAGGTCAGTTATGCCGCCATTGAGAAGGAGTGATTCAGCCGACGGGGAGGAGAGAAGGAGGATCGGAGGAGGAGAGCTCCCCGCCCAGCGCTGGAAAAAGGTAAGTTTTTACCCCTTTCCCCCTTCCAGAGCCGGGCGGGAGGGGGACCCTGAGGGTGGGGGCACCCTCAGGGCACTATAGTGCCAGGAAAACAAGTATGTTTTCCTGGCACTATAGTGGTCCTTTAAGCTTTGGCTCATGTGTGGATTATTTGGTGATACCAGCATTATTTTACCCTGTGGATTATTGTTGTTATTCTGCTATTGGGAAAAAGGGAATACTGTGACGGTGATACAGATTACTACCGTCACATGTATGGTGCAATGTGTGGTTGTCCTCTCTTAAAAAAGGCTCAGGGCCAAAATGTTGGGAGTAATTATATTTTGATATTTGTCTTGTTTTTTTCTCTTCTTTCATTTCGTGTTTAAGTTTTCTTATGTACAATAACACATTCCGAAGGCAGTGGGAGGAATCGCTCGGTAGAACATTCACACCACCACAATGGGACAAAGCGCTCCTGTGGCAACATAAGAGCTCAATGAGCTCCCACTACCAGGAGGTTAACTATAAATTGATTTCCTTCTGGTATAGAACGCCAACCATGATACATCGAATCTTCCAAGCAATACCACCAACGTGCTGGAGAAGCCAAACAGAAAGAGGCACGCTGTTATACATCTGGTGGGAATGCAACGACATAGCCTCGTACTGGGGAATCATAAAAAACAAGGTATCTCTGGTACTGGGAGAAGTCCCAGACTGGTCTGCGGAACTCGCACTCCTACATATCTCTCAACAACCTATATCGAGCTACAAAAAATCGATCATGCGCCATCTGTTGAACGGAGCTAAGGCCTCCATACCGGCCAATTGGAAAAAGATGGAGGTCCCGACAAAGGAGGAGTGGATCAGGCGAGTGGAGGACATTCAGGGTGCAGAGGCGCTTCATGCCTCCCTGACGGGTAGGGAAACCAAACATGTGGAAGCGTGGCAACCCTGGTTTATGTACATTTCCCGATATCCACGGAATGGAGGGGACCCCGGGGCCGGGGTCGGTGCGCGGGCTCCGACCTCCCCTTAGCATGGACCATACACTGTCCCCTCCTAACCTTACCT